TTTTATTTTTATATTTCATTTTATTTTTTATTTATTAAGATTTTATTTATTTATATGACAGAGAGAGAGGGGTGGGGGGCAGCACCGGAGAGGGAGAAGCAGACTCCCTGATCGATCCCAGGGCTTGATCCCAGGACTCTCAGATTATGACCTGAGCCAAAGGCAGATGCTTAACCGACTGAGCCACCCAGGTGCCCCTGGAAATTTCATTTAAATAGAATCATATAAAGGTAGCCTTTTGTGTCTGGTTTCCTTCACTTAGCATAATATTTTCAAGGTTCATCCATGTTGGGGCAAATGTCAGTAGTTCATTCTTTTGATGGCTGAATTATATTCCACAGTAAGGATACCACATTTTATTTATTCATCAGTCAATGGACATTTGGGGTGTGCCAACTTTTTGGCTATTACGAATAATGCCACTATGAACACTTGTGCACAAGCTTTTCTGTAGACATGTTTTCGTTTCTCTTGTGTCTATACCGAGGAATGGAGTTACTGGAACACGTGGTTACTTTATATCTAATGTTTTAAGGAATTAACCCAAAGGCTTTACAAAATAGTTGTGCAGTTTTACAATTCCACCAGCAACATATGAAGGTGCCAATTTCTCTACATCTTTGTTAACACTTGTAATTCTGTCTTTTTTATTATAGCTATCCTTGTGCTGTGTTGTTGTGCTAAACCCTTCACAAGTGTTAACTCATTTGATCTTCCCGATATTGCTATATCCAGAAAAGAGAATTTAGGCTTAGCGAGGTTCAGTAACTTGCTCAACACTAATAAACTGAAAAGTGCCAAAGCTGTAATTAGAAATATGCTACACAAGTAAAACAGTCTTCGAACACTCAAGGGAATGAAAACCATTTGGGCAAATTCCACCTCCCTCCCCTTTTTAACAAGACTGAGTTTAAAACCTTCTGTTCTATCCAAGTTAGTCTCCTGTTGATGTCCTGAATCCACTCCTGCCTTATGCTTCAGAGCTAACTGGTACTGGGACCTAATATTGAGAACAAAGGGAGAAAGAAATAATCTTTTCAATTAAAGCAAAATTTTCCATTTAGCCTCTGATAATTTGTAAATATTAATTAGGAATTAAAAAAATCATTAAGAAAAGAAATTTGGAAGCTTTATTTTCCAAGTATGATCTTTATTATTCTTGGTCCAAAATTGTTTCCAAGATACACATTTCCACATTCTTAATGAAGTCAGTGGAAATTGACTTCAAAGCCAATTTTTTATGTTTTAATTCCATGAAGATACATGCCACCTTTTAAACTTCTAATTTGCCCTAATTTATAATTATAAAATTTATATATATTTTTATATTAAGATAATAGTTAAACAGAAATATATCTTTTAATGTTTGTTCTCAAAAATAGAAGTGTCACCATTCGTAAAAACATGGCAATAAAGTAAATGCAGTTAACTCAGTGTTTAGAGAAGACTTGGAATAAACTATTTTGACTCTTACGTGAGGAATCTGATTTCCAGGGCTATGTGCTTGCTATTTAAGAATAAACTTGCACATGAGTACAGAAAATCCCAAGGGTCTATGTTCGATGAGATGTCCCTGGCAGAGGCACCAAGAGGAAGATGCTGCTCATATGTCTGAACTAAAGATTGTCCTCTGTGAGTGTCTGTGATTCACAGATGGTGATATTCAACAGAGAAAGGGCTGAAGGAAGTAGGAAAGGGTATCTGTAGAATTAAACAGTGAGCCCAACACTTTCCTTCTGACCACTTCCTTACTGCTTCTGAAGTATCTTAGTGCTTGTGAGAAGAAAGGCCGTCTTGAAATGAGTGATACAAAAGCTGCTTTACCAAAAACAGGACCCCTTCAGAGAAAACAAAGTTTTGGAGGAAGGTTGGTAGGGAGAAATGATTAAACTGGAGGAAAAATTTGTTCTGTTTTAGACATTACGCATTTGTAGTGTGGGACATTTCATGAATACTCTATATTATCCTCTATTCACATGGAACCATTTCTGAAAATTTAATTATAGAATTCAAACATGCAAAACTTAACATACTCATTATTTAAGTTTATTGAGATATAATACATATGCCATACATTTCACTCATTTAAAGTATGTAACAACTATCTTACTTACAATATCATACAGAAGTATGTATAATACATATAGTGTATTATAAAGTGTAGGGCCTCGTGGTGGTAGGGTTTAAATGTGGTAGAGAAGAAACTAGAGAATTTATTAAATAATACCATAGGATCCAAATAATTATTTTAGCTTTCAAAATATCCGATAAATCTCTATGTTAAATTTGTTTTTCCAACATCCTTGCTTTAAGGAAGGAAGTTAAAGATGTTTGCCTCTCCAGAAGTTTAAATGGAGCTATAAAACTCCCATCCCCTCTTGTGCTGTCGATAGGGTTATTTTCATATTATTAATACATGAAGAAAACTGTTAAAAGTTTTGAAGCACAACTTCCCAAGATTTGGAATATAGCCAGCATAGAGTGAAAAAAAATTTTTTTTTTAAAGATTTTATTTATTTATCTGACAGAGAGACAGCGAGAGAGGGAACACAAGCAGGGGGAGTGGGAGAGGGAGAAGCAGGCTCCCCGCAGAGCAGGGAGCCCAATGCGGGACTCGATCCCAGGACCTTGGGACCATGACTTGAGCCAAAGGCAGACGCTTAACGACTGAGCCACCCAGGCGCCCCTATAGTGAAAATTTTATAATTTGTTTCCTCTTATGACTTTTTTGGTTAGGTACATGGAAGTCAGTGTCATAGTTCTATTTTTCATTATTGGTGGTAAATACTAGAGTTTTAGCAGGTGATAATCAATCAGGCCCTTTTCCTTGATTTGTGTTTCTACGCAAATGAGAAATTAGATGCACGAGTCAGACAGAAATGAAAATATCAGCTTCACTACTGATAAAATTGATTGGAAAGCAAGGCTTAGGTATGTAGCCACAAGGGTTTCCTTGGATCATTATGATGAGGTTTGGTGCTAGTGCTAGAAAACTGAAAATAACAGTGGCATAAATGAGGGAGAGACTCTCACCTAAAAGTCCAGAGGTATTAGATCAGGACTGATAGAGTTCCAGAGTATCTGGCACCCAGACTCCTGTCAAGTTTGTTCATTAGCTATGTATGGCCTCCTTTTCTAGGGTCATTTTGGGGTCTGGGATGGATGCCCCAGCTCCAGCTATAGGCATACACTCTAGCCAACAGGAAGAAAGAGTGGGATAAGGAAAAATGTCTCCATTTAAAGACACACCATTTTTTGCTTCTGTCTCATTAGCTAGAACACAGTCACTTAGCCACATCTAACTAGGAAAAGTACTCAGCTAAAAAATGAGAATTCTACTATAGAAGGGGAGAAGGGGTATTGCTAGACAATTTATAGTCTCTGCCGTATTCCTGAGTTAAACTTCTGCAGCCAGACAGAGGCAGAGTCAGACAACCACCAGCCTCCCCTATAGTGAAATGCAAGTGCTTAGCACAGAGCAGAGACTTACCTGGAGGCTAAAGTGCTTGAAAGAGAGGATCTGGGAAGGGGCTGAGCCAAACACATTCAGTTCCTTCTCACTCTCACCCACTGAAAGAGGCCTAATGTGTTCCTCCCATGCTTTTTGCTCCTAACTCATGTTTGGCTTTTCTAAGGGGCAGAACAGTGAACTGTCATAAGGCAGGAAAGCAGCACATGATTTGGCACCACAATAACAAGGTTTTCTTATTTTCCTGGGATCTAGCCTTTCTTTGTCTTCACTGTCCATTAGATTAAGAAATCTTCCTGAATAGTCATAAGAGAGTTCTTCTTCGGGCAAAATGTCTTTGGCTGCAAAAAGTGCCAACTTTGGTACCATTGAGTCAATTCGGACAGGAATCATCAACAGGTTTGGCTCACAAGAATGGTTGAGAAATCTTCCAATACTTCCTATATAGGCGGGATCAACAAATGTTTCTATGACCTGCCCGTTGTAAACATGTTCTCTGACGGCTATAATGTAATTTGGATCGTGTATTGTTTGTAACTGAATTCTTCTCTGTACTTCAGAATATCCCAAAACTTCACCAGCATATTCACAGACAAACCGTCCTTTTGGTATCAATTCCAATGTACGAAGTCCCCAGCCTTTTTTGTCCGTCTTGAACACCTGGAGTTGGAACTGCAGACCCTGCTGGACCACCCTGTTCCTGCAGTGGTCACTGCACTGACATAGGACGTTACATTCAAATACTGGCTTGGCACACTTTCCTTCCGATCCTATATCTCTAAGGCGTGAATTATCATCATAGTTCTCCCCATGACGGAGACAAGAGCAAGTACCAGGGAGGCAGGGGGTTTTGAGGCAAATGCATCCAGGAAAGGTTATTTGTGTGGGATCAATGTCTGTTCCAGGTCCAGCTACATGGTCAGGAGTATACTGCAAAAAATAGAAATGCTCTCAGTCAGCATGGTATGTTATGTATTTCATATATATTTCAAGCAGTTTTTGGATGAGACGCTTCTTAATTCCAACATATATAAAAATAGACTAAAACAAAATTGACAAAACACAATATACTAAAATATCGTTTGGAAACATACCTCTTCAATTTAAAAAATAAGATTAATTTTTGGATTAAAATTCTGTGGTTTTATTCTAGGTATGCGGTAACAAAAGGACAAAAAAATGTTTTTCCCTTATCAGAAATTGAAAGATTTGTAACTAATTTTGTTTTCCTCTTAGCTATGGTTATCAGAAAAATCAGTGCTGAATTTAGTTTTTGAATGCATTTAAGTATTTTATCTTTGGCTCTTGATCTTTTCACATTTATCTGACAATATAAATGCATGTATTTTATTGTGTGTCACTGCAGATGCTTTTTGGGGAGAAGAAAGTCATAAATGATAAATAAATTAATAAAAAATGGCCTTTGGGAGAGAGTCTTCCACTGATTTTTAAGGAATTCTTAATTTGAAGATTACCTAAATTCCTAAATATTCTTTGATGTTTAAAAAAGACACTACTGCTTCAGAGTTTTATTTGAGTCTTCATAATTTTTTTTTTTTTAAAGATTTTATTTATTCATTTATTTGAGAGAGTGAGAGAGAGAGAGTACATGAGAGGGGGGAGGGTCAGAGGGAGAAGCAGACTTCCCGCTGAGCAGGGAGCCCGATGCGGGACTCGATCCAGGGACTCCAGGATCATGACCCAAGCCGAAGGCAGTCGCCCAACCAACTGAGCCACCCAGGTGCCCCGAGTCTTCATAATGTTAAAAATAGGCATTTGCCAAGAAACTGCAGACAGAATTCCAAAAATCATATTTGTTATATAGATATTAATAAATGTAGATGTAATATATATGTAAAGAAATCCTGTTTTTATTAAATGATAAAGAGATAATACCGAAAAGTTTCTCACGTTACAGAAAAAGAATAAAGTCCCAAGTCTAAAATCTCTATGCGAAACCTGATCTCTGGTTGTTTCCTCACTAGCATAATTAAGCATATTTTCCAAACCTTGAAGATTAAAGCATCTCTCTTGAGCCCAGCATATTTCTTTATGTATAGAATAATTCTTGCTTACATGGAACCTAACTCATTTATTTATACCTGCTGTTAGTGTTCTTGGACCCAGTTTCAACGCAGTGGTCGTCGTGGTGTGGTTTCCCCACACCTCTAACAAGCAATGCTTCGAGCACCAGGTGGGTATCCTACAACTCAGCTCAGTTCTGATGCTATCCAATAGCATCACACCCCACAGTTTAATGGGTCAGTCCTAAGACTGCTCCCCCCCCCCCCCCCCTACTTCAGACACCAGGCACAAGCTCAGGTTGTCATCTGTACTACTGACTGATGGGCTACATATCGGGAGGTTCCCATGACCTCCTCCTTGGACTTTAGACACCGGTCACAAGTCCAGGTTGTTACCTGAACTTGTGGCCGACAGGCTGTAAGTCAGAGGTTCTCAAAATCCCCTCCTTGGGTTCAATTAACTTGGGAGAATTGCTCAGGGAACTCAGAGAAAAATTTTACATACTAGAAAAGGATACAACTGAGAAACAGCCAGATGGAAGAGAGGCATAGAGCAAAGTATGGGGAAAGAGAGAAGAGCTTCCATGCCCTCTCTGGGCATGTCACACTCCCAGCAGCTCCACGTTCACCAACCCAGAAGCTCTTTGAACTGTTTTCTTGGGTTTTTATGGAGGCTTCATCACTTAGCCAGGATTGATTAAATCACTGGCTATTATTTGCAAATGTTTCAACCTCTAGGCCCCTCTCCCGATTGGAGGTCGGGGATGAGGGTACCGAAAGTTCCAACACTAATCAGATGGTTGGCTCGGCTGGCAACCAGCGCTCAGCTTTTGGTGTTTCCAAAACTCGCCTCATTAACATAACAAAAGATACCTTTTTGCTGCTCTTATCATTTAGTAACTAACAAGGGTTTTAGGAGCTCTGTGCCAGAAATTGGGACAAAGACCAGATACAGATTTCTTTTTATAGATCACAACATAACCTGCTTTGTTCCAAAAAGGATTTAATGAGACATACAAAGAGTTCAGATAAATGAACAATACATAAGAAATGTACAGCGAAGGGAAAAATAAGAGCTAGTTGAGCGAGCTTAGACACACACAGTGTGTAGCAGAAGTAAACTGGACTTTTGGTTCTGCCTGAGCATAGCCACTTCCAAGAGGGAAATACGATCAGATGCAGGGCTTGCACTATCCATAAGGAATAATCTCACCATTGAGAACGAGCATTGACTTTTTCCACTATGGAGACTGGAGAGAAATTTCACCAATGTGTCTGTCTAAACCATTCTTCTCCAGAAAGCAGTTTCATGGGCTGTTTTTCATTCTGACTCTCAATAAAGGCTATTGGCATGCATGGGCCACAGCAGTCAGTAAGAGCCGTACTGCAAGGGACCAGGTACACAGGCTTTAATTCAGGGATAGATTTTAGAGTATCTAGAGGAATGTCTGAACTACGTTATTTTTCACTCAATCATCCATTAATACTGCGTCTCTGGGCCAAGTTTTGGGGAACGTATTAAACAACGTGTAGTTTACATTCCCTGTGGAGGCCTCAGTGGAGCTATGCAGTTAGGCTCAAAATCCTATATTTTAAAAAAACGTTAAGCTGGGGAAAGGATTGACATCCTCTTGTGAAAGATGAGGAGGATGATGAGTGGGAGTACCTGCGGGGGAAGGCCAACACTCTGCTTAAGAAGTGATTTGGGGGTGGAGAGCGGAAATAGCTTCGCGTTTGTGTCGTTTCTTTCAAAATGAGCTTTAGCTTAGTGGAGATGTCCTAAAGGGATAAAGAATGGCTTAGAAAAAGATGCCCTATCAGTCAAATTCAATGACTGCGGTCTGAGACAGAATCTACTTCCAGCTTTTAAGAGTCAAGATTGAAATGTAAATGGTTACTGAGACATTTTAAAAGTACTTGTAAAATGAAAATTTTACTATCTTTTTGTTAAACTTTTCACGAAGAATTCTTTTAAATTTATTTCTTCTTAAAAGCGCACATATTTTTGATGTACTATATAAATCACTAAACTATAAAGTGATTTTTTTTTTTTTGACACAGATAACTCCTTTTGAAATCAAGTCTGGCTTACTGTAGTCTTCTAACCAGAAGAGCATATTATTCTTTGTTGAACTTATTTGGATATGGATAGGTTTGGAAAAATACTGTTATTTGCTTATTTTTATTTATACATTTAAAAAAAGACACTGGAAAATCTAGTGATACCGTTTTTAAAAATTCTGGAATTTAAACTTGATGCACAATCTAAGATCTTTTAGAGACATAGATTATAAAGGGCATCTAATTCCAAATGAGCTGCAGACACCTTCCAAAGGATAACAGAGACCTCTGTATAAACTTTCTGTTTAAAGAGAATATTTGTTTTCTCTTGATGGATGTAATCCTTAACCCTGATACCGATACTTATCACAAATCATTTTATCTCCATATTTTCCATTTTCTCCTCCATAAACAGTCAGTAAAATACCACTCCAGAAAGATATTTCACCTGATTTAGAAAAATGGCTATACTAGAGAATTATCTTTTGAAAACTGTGGTCTAAATTAACATATGATTATGTAATTATTCATCTTTTTAGGTATCTAACTACATATTGGAAAATTATTTTCAGAAATAATCTGATGTCACTGACCTGATATTCTATTCAAATATTTATATGCCATGCAAATTGTTAACTTTTGAGAATCTGAAAGCTAATGTTAAGTACGTTACAAATTGGGAGTCAACTGACTTGAGCTTAAATGCTCCCAATTTGTAACTCTTTCCAAAGTTTGTCCTCTACTTCCTGGAACAAAGCCCAGGGCCAAACTGATCCAAAGGGTGTTACCCTGAGGGTTTTGTGCTTACTCTAAACCCAGGAGAGATCAAAGCTTGGGGAATGAGACCAGAGAGGACATATTTTTACCCATCCAGCATCTGTTCCTTTTCTTCTGATAAAAGTACCCTGACTCCTCCTGGAGGAACCCTTCCCAGTCCAGTCTCATTGGTTTGGATGGGGATCCAGGTTGGGCGGGGACCTGGACCCAGCTAATCAGGTCATCAACTGCTCCTTTCAACCGTGTTTGGTTCATGGATCGGCACAGTACTTAAGCCAGATCAATGAAAAAGAATTCTAAGACTTCTGCTGAAATGATCAGGAAGAAACAATCTCACTCTACCTGTTTACCTGGCATTCTCCAGTTCTACTGCACACATAAGACCTACTGAGGGTGTAGCCAACCAGATGAAAGGGGAGCAGGGGTGCGAATGGCGGAGGTGGTAGAAAGAAATATTTGATGACACCATTAGAGTTCTTGGATCCAGACATACCTATAGTTACCACTCTTGGACTTTGCTGTTATGAGGCAATTCCTTCCCTTTTTGGCTTGAGTTAGTTTGTATTGTATTTCTATTTCTTGCAAACAAATGACTCTTGATTGATATGCCCACAGTGGAAGGCTGACAATGGTTCCAGGAAATGGCTGGAAAATTGAGTCAAAGATATAAATGGCTAATGAGAATTCAGGTCTCCAACTGGGAGATCAGGCTAAGATAAAGTGTGCAGGAGGCCAGATAGGCCTGCGACAAGCCTGAACACTGGACAACCAATAGACAACTTCTTCTTCTTCTTCTTTAATTTCTTTATTTTATTCTTAAAAAGATTTTATTTATTTATTTGACAGAGAGAGATAGTGAGAGCACAAGCAGGGGGAACGGCAGGCAGAGGGAGAGGCAGGCTTCCCGCTGAGCAAGGAGCCCGATGCAGGGCTCGATTCTGGGACCGCGGGATCATGACCTGAGCTGAAGGCAGACGCTTAACCGACTGAGCCACCAAGGTGCCCCTATGGAGAACTTCTTAATGTAGAACATGGAATGTCCTAAAGGAGACACACACAGAACTAGGCTCTTATTAGCACTGTGACTTAGGGCAAGTTACCTTCTAAGTTTTGGGTTTGCACCTATAAAACAGGAATAATACCTGTATCTGCCCCCCAGCCCCAGGTATTATTATTATTATTATTATTATTATTTTTTAAAGATTTTATTTATTTATTTGACAGAGAGAGCGAGAGAGCACAAGCAGGGGGAGCAGTAGAAGGAGGGAGAAGCAGGCTTCCCGCAGAGCAAGGGGCCCGATGCGGGGCTTGATCCCAGGACTCTGGGATCATGACCTGAGCCAAAGACAGATGCTTAACCATCTGAGCCACCCAGGCGCCCCAGCCCCAGTTATTATTAAACTTAAATTACACTGTACTCTGTGCCAGGCACTTTATATTTTTAAAATAGTAGCTTCCTTAAAGGCTTCTAAATATTATTTCTATATTTTATATTTAAAACATCATATATTTCTGGCACATCACTTAATCTCTCTAAATATTTCCTTTCTATCTGTCTCACAGTGGCTGTGAAGGAAAAAAAAAAAAGAGAATCCATGTAAAAAGTTTACTCTAGTGGCTGGCACATAGGTGTTCAATATTAATTATGTAGGCTACCTGGGAGGGTGGTGAAAACAGCAGATTCTGAAGTTAAACTTTCTAGGCTCAAACACAGTTAAACCAAAATTTTGTCTAGGAGACGATGTCATTATATTTCTATTTTCTATTACTTATCCGTCTTGCGGGGGGAAACTAAGAATTGATCCAGCACAGACTTCTTTCATCCATCTACATATACTGCCTTACTGCTTGTTAGATGCATGTGCTGGGATTTAGAAAGAACCAGTCAGAAGAATACAGAGAAGACACGGAGAATGGGATTTTTATCATTTCTTTGTATCATAATAACATAAACTACTTTTTCCTGGTATGTATCAAAATGCAAACACTGATCATGCAAGAGTTGGGAATAAATGCAAAATGACCAGTGTAAAACGATGTAACAGAAACCAGATCCTTGAAGAACTGGGTGGAGATTTCAAGTTTCTTGACAGAAAACTTAAAACATTTTTTTTTTATAAACCATGGTCACTCAAGAAGCCAAAATGGAAACCAGGAGACAGCATGTTGAAAAGCAAATATACCTCCTTGGCTATTCTCATACACAATTTCTCTCTTTTTTGAACTAGACGTGCACTTATTAATAGCATAAACTTTGGGATCTAAATGGCATAGGCTATAGGGCTCTCTGGTTGTACTACATGTGTAAGTCTTGTCTTTCTAACAAATACATGTCTCAAGGAAATGGTCATGTGGTTTGGGATATGACATGGTAATGGGAGTTGAGTTACTTTTCATAGTACTGGGCACAAAGCAGCAGGCTTAGGGAATATTTTTTGACTGCTTGATTGTAGCTCTTGATAACTTCTTACCGAAAGTCTGACTTTTTTAAGTCACATTCTGTATCAAAGCCCCAGAAACTTAAGTATGACACCGCATAATATTTTGGGCTTAAAACCTAGGCCTTGATTCTGAATTTAAAGGAAGTGCTGTGAAAATCTTCATTCCTTTTTTGGTTGTTTTGAAACACCAGCTACATGAATCTTTGTACTTGGCCTCTACCCCATGAGTTTGTTTTTGCTCCAAGCTATTAAGAGCCTGTGAGCCAGATAATTCTTGTCAAGGCCAAGTTGAAATCTTAAAAAATATGTTTAAGGCTGGTTTCAGAAACCTGAAAAAAGCCTAGATTCGACTCTCCATTCAAGAAAATCAATTAGTTTATTTTCTACTTGGCTTTCAACACAGATGGCATTATGATAGGTTTTGTTTTCAGTGTGAACATGTGAATGTTCTTTTTGCCTTTTCACACAGTACTCAAAAGCAAACTAGACACAGTTATTTTTACCTTGAGTTTCTTATGCCTTAATTCTTATGTGTGTACATGCCTGTGAAGGCAGGGCTTGGGGTAAGCAAGCTGTTTTGATCTTTCATAAGACAGGTTTTGTGCTCCATGAATATAGGAAAGCAAACTAGTTAAAGACACTTTTAGGCTTGTCATAAATATGTTTCAAGCATGTTTTATCTTCTTGGTAAGACTATAAGTTCCTTGACGAAGGAGCTTATCTTCTTTCTGTAACTCTAACTCCACCCAGAGCTACACATATAGCCAGGCAGCTAGAATACTGAGGGACTGAGTCTTAGTCTCGAGATTTTCATTTATGCCTATCAATTGTAGATATAAGGATCAATCATAAGGCTTCCTCTCTCCCCTCTCCAGCCCCCCCATAGCAACTAAGTGCTTTCTATATGGTCTTGTAAGCTCAAAGGCAAGGTTGTCACCATTTTATCTTCTTTGTCTAGCTTAATGCCTAGCAGATTATACACACTCAATTACTTGCTGAATAAAGAAAACATTTTTCAGTGTTTTTGACCATTTAGCAATGATTGGTCTTGAATAAGCTTTTAGGGATTAGTGTTTAATATGGTGCGAGCCAACTGTATTATTATTTAGATTTTATTTATTTGAGAGAGAGAGCAGAACGAGAGACAGAGCACGAGCAGGGGGTAAGGGGCAGAGGTAGAGGGAGAAGCAGATCCCTGCTGAGCAGGGAGCCATGGGATCATGACTTGAGCTGAAGGCAGACACTTAACCGACTGAGTCACCCAGGCACCCCTAGTCAACTGTATTATTAACCATAAAACTGGGGCACATAGGGCCCCCTGCTCAGTGGGAAGCCTGCTTCTCCCTCTCCCACTCCCCCTGCTTGTGTTCCCTCTCTCTGTGTCTCTGTCAAATAAATGAATAAAATCTAAAACAAACAAACAAACAAAAACCACAAAACCATAAAACTGCCCTCAGGTAGTTTGAGGAAAAAGAACCTTTCCTGACATTAATATCCTGCTTTACTCTTTGAAAACCGCTAGTGAATTTACTGTTTTATTTGATCTTCACAACAACCCTAAGAAGGAGAGACACACAGGGCTTAGTATTGATGGTGTATGTGACCAAGGTTATAAATTTATTATTTTCATTTTGCAGATGAAGAAGCTCGGACTCCAAGAAATAGCCAAGATGGCTCAGCCCTGAACCTCACTCTCCTACCTCCAAGTCCAAGTGCACCTTCCACTCCAACATCATTGTTTTTTTGGTCCTATTCCATAGACAAAGAGCAGGCCAAGGTCAGAGGGGTGGGGAATGTAGAGCGTAAGGGGTTTTGATGTGGTAAGAGCAGTGGAACATTTATGGGGTTCTTTCAGCCAACCAGGAAGTGTGTTTTACTTGTAATTCCCAAAGCAATCCGGGAGAGAGGCACTATTATTTTAATCGTAGACGGGAGGATTGATTCTAAGGCTTACCTGAGGCTAGTTTATATTTGCCCAAGCCCTCATAGCATGAGGGAGACTCAGGAAAGTCTCATTGTAGGGACTGAGTTTTTAACCCTAACACTAGGCTGAGATCCACCGATAGGGCCCATGCCTTATCTTACAGAGGAGGCACCTGCGACCAGAGAGGTACATGACTTGCCCCCAGTCCCTCAGTGAGTACTGGGGAGAGAGCCAGGAAAAGAAAGACAGGTTCTCAGGGCTCTTTCCAAGGGACCTCACGAAACACCTGGTTTGTCCTTCAGGGAACTGCCGGTCTGTGGAGACAAAAGATACTCCCGCTATTGCTAAGGTCATTACGGAGGGTTAATAGAACAAGACCCAAACCTGTGCATTTAAAGAGCTATCCCTGCGCGAAACAGCTCTGCGACAGGGTAAGAAAAAAGTCGAGAATACGGAGACAACTTGGGATAGGAGAGTCATCCACAGATTCACTGCCAGGTCGGGGAACGGCCCACTGGGTCCTCGCCTCCTTCCATCTCCCCTGCCTGGCCGGGCGCCAGCTCCACGCCCGTGGCTGCGCGCGCGCAGTGCGCGTGCCGGGCAAGGCTCGCCCCAGAGAGAAGGGCGCCCGCCCCCCAACCCCCGCCGCGCTCTCGGCGGCCCAGCTCCGCCCCCTACCTGGAAGGGCTCTGGCTCCGCCCCCGGGGGCCACGCGCTCACGGGCACGTTCTCCAAGCCGCGCGCGACATCCAGCTGCTCAGTAAGGGCCTTGGGCCCCTCCTCAGGCCCTGCCATCCCGCACGGCCACCTCTCTACAGCTTTCGCGGACGTTTCGCGCCATCTCGACGCGCAGGGCGCCTAGACGCTTTCGAGCCTCGCAGAGGAAGCTGGGAATCGTGGGACGCGCGGCCCCGCCGCCTCCTGGGAGCCGTAGTTTTTCTCTCTCCTTTCACAAGTGGCCTGTGAGGGCGTCTCCTCCCTCGACCCTCAGCTTTCCTTGACTTTTTGGATTGGCTCGCTCTCTTTTAAGCCAGATGCACAACAAATAATACACAGCTTTGGAAGGTACGGACATAGTTTTGGAAATACAAAGTGAAGTGCTTTAATTTTTCCCGTGAGCCTCAGGAAGGGTTTGCGAGGTGAGGTCGTTAGTCCAGGGTTCTGAGGGCCCGGAAGATTGCTGGGGTGAGGGCAAGGGCGCGCTCTACGTTGAGGGGGGAAATGCCCACCACGGTTTCTAAAGTTCTGGAACTCGCGTAGCAGTTGGGTGGCGTGTGATAGGGTTTGTTCTCCGTCGGCGGAACGGCGGTATAGGGCGCCCGAAGGCCTGTGTGGGGACGCCCAGTCCTGGATTGAGTTAATCTGTTGCCTATCAGCTTCCCCTTTCCTAGAAAGAAAACACCCGGCCCCGACAGAGGGTTCTGATAACCTGGAAATTGCTGGGTCCCCTGGAATATTTCCAAAGCTCTCTGCCCGATTGTCCTGCCACATCTGCTTGAAACCCTGTGTCCTTGCAGCTTCTGCGGCACCGGTCCTGGATGCGCTGCCTTCTGGCAGACGGTCCTTCTCCCTCCTGACTGAAATGTCGGTGGGCGTCGCTCAGGGTTCTGCCCCAGGCCCTTTTCTCGCCTTGTCAGTAATAGCATCTCGCGACGTGGCTTCAGATACTGTTAAAAAGTATTAGGTCTTCTGTTTCCAGCTCAGATGATACGGATAACCGCCTAGCTCCGGTCGTGGAGGGCCAACTGATGATTGGACATCTCTGCTTTCTGTCTTACAGACACCAAGAACTCGCAATGACCTGAGTGGACCAATCCTTCCTTTTCGCCTTTAAAATAAACTGGGCAAATAACTTGTCCACGATCGCCGAGTTATTAAAGCAACAAACCAAAGCGTTTCCCTATATTTCTTCCTCACCTTAGACCTCCGTAGCTACGAGCTTCCTGGCCAAATCTTGTTGATTCTACTTTTGTAATGTTTCGCATTTTCATTTCTTTTTCCTTAGTCTCAGGCTCTGGTTTCTTCCTTGGATTCTTGAAGTTATTTTTTTCAAGCCTAACATTCTCCCAAATCACCTTTACATTGCTTCTGTAGTCTTGGAGGTTGCACATCCCATTGTTACATTGTTTAAAATCCTGTGTTTATGTGCACAGTGCTATGTTTACCGATTTGGGGAATGTACCCACGAAGAAGACATGATGCCCCGGGAGAGTTCCATTCCAGCAAACAAATAATTACATACACCCAGAAATTAATAAGAACTATGAGTATTATGAATAAATAACTATAGGTCAATGGGAAAACTCTTCTGTATTTGAGATGATCATGCTGTTTTTATTATTACTATTTTTTTACTCTTTCTTGGTAGTATTGTCTGCCCTTTGGAATGATATTTTGAAGGATCCATTTTATTTTTTTCCTGAAGTTGTCAGTGAAGGTGCTTCCTTTTTTTTTTTTAAAGATTTTATTTATTTATTTGAGAGAGAGAATGAGAGAGAACACATGAGAGGGGGGAGGGTCAGAGGGAGAAGCAGGCTCCCTGCCGAGCAGGGAGCCCGATGCGGGACTCGATCCCGGGACTCCAGGATCATGACCTGAGCCAAAGGCAGTCGCTTAACCAACTGAGCCACCCAGGCGCCCCGTGAAGGTGCTTCCTGAATAAGATATTTAGTTCATGTCAGCCCTTCAGTTTAATTTGTTTTTATCCTGCTAGCAAAGGATCCGAAAGTATTTTATGTAGCGTGAGATTAAAATAATGAGAGGATGTTTGCAGGCTGATATATCCAATCTTCATAGTGCCAAGCAGTCAGCCTTTCATCTTTTCCAGGTCTAAAAACTTATCTTATTTTCTCTAGACACTTGCTCTTCACTACTAGAAACCTGGATCTTCAAAATTTGTCCTGAAAACTTTTTTAGCTAGATGGTGGGAAAAAAAAAAAAAAAAAAAGTATTCCTGGACATTAATGAGTTGCCCACACACTGACTGCTATAAATAAGATTTGGACCTGAATATCACATTGCTTATTCAAATTTCTTGTGTCTTTTTCATTGGCAGAAGAAAAATGAATCTGATCAGTAATAAAAAATAATGCAATATAGTAAAACTCTACTATTATGTGGGTTAATTTATCTTTGGCTAAATTATGGGGTATGACTATATGGCCTTCCCATTTTTAAACACAAATGGACTGTAATTGAGATGGTTTTGTCTTTTTTTTTTTTTTTTTTGCCAGTGCTTGAAGTTCTGCATGATTTTGTATTGAGAAGCCATTCTTTCATCAGTCTTACTAGCGTTATCTGAGCTTAATCTGGGGTATACTTTATAGCCAGTGATGAAAGGCCTAAAGTAAGCAGAAGTTATGTATTTGTTGGTGTTAATGACAGCATGAATAGAATAGTTTGGTAATCTTAACACCAGTTATAACTATCACTACTAGATATTAAGTAGCACCTGGATCTCATATCAAATAAGATTGTGTAAATGAAATCATTTTGAAGAGAACAAAGCATAGCAGTTGATACTTCTGGGGGTTTCTGCCCAATACATTGACTCTTTCCCTTGCCAACCCCCCCCCGCCTCGCAGTCCATCCCATGGGGTGGGCTTGCTGATAATCATGTTTATATTACACAACCCCTAAGCCTTGACTCATGCTTTTGACTTCCTGATGCATATTTGATTCAAGCTAGGCCACTAAGATTCTCTTTTTGAGTAGTTGAGACCAAAACCCAGCTAAAACTATATATATAATTTGGGAGCAAGAGGTAGTTTTATTCAGTATATTGATGGAGAGGCAGAGTAAATTCAGTCTTCCAAGAGGAAAACAAGGCAGGCAAGTGAGGAGAGAGGACTTCTTAGTTCCTGGCATCTGGCCGTTTCTGGTTCTGATTCCTTGTTAATTCACACAACATATTTGTATTCCTATAACAAGTTCTTCCTTTAGGTTTAGGTTAAGTCTGTGTGGTGTCTGTTACTGTAGTCAAAGAATTTAGACCAGTGAAAATGATGGTATTATTACTATGGGCTGGTAATCAACTACTCTGTAAGCAGTTAGTTGATAGTTATGAATTTTTGTTTATTTTATAAGTTGGTAAGTTATGTTTTTTATTTTTAACACTTTGCTTTTCTGATGTGTGTTACACTAAAGAATGCCTCCCCAAGATAATATGAATAGAAATTTACATCAAAAAATAGTAAAAAACCATAAAATTTATATCTGGTAGAAGGGATAATAATGAGTTATAGTGTACATAATATATGCCCAATATTGTAAAAAGATAGTAGAAGAGAAAGGAAATTGTTCAGAAAATGCGTCTTTTTAGTAGTTGAAATTGTATGTCAAAATGGATGGCATGTGGATCATTCTGCAGCAAGAAAAAAATATGGCTATTGATTAAAATAACTTGAGAGTGGTAGTTTACAAAATTATGGTCCTGTGTTATTTGTGCTTTTTAAAAGATAGTAGCTTATGTTTTTATGTTTAGACTGCTAGTAAATATATAGTTTAGCAGAATAAAAAACTTGCATCATGTTCTATATTTTTATCATTGCATTGCAGTTTAATGAAATCCATAATTTACCTCATTGACATGACAACAAAAAACATCAAGATATAATTATAATCAGAATATTGTTCATCTAAGTGCTTTAGTTGTAAATATCCAGGATTGATGATTATAGAATAATAACTCATAATGGTATGCAGTGAGATGGGGATTGTTTGATAATAGATAAAGAGGTGAAAGAAGAGAATTATGTATCTATTTAACCTGAAAGTTGCCAGCAGGGAATTAATGTCACTTGTCAAAGACATGTGATCAAATTTATTACCAGGTGTGTTCAAATACTATTACCAAGTCTATGAGAACAGACTTGCTGTGTTTGCAACTTGTTTGCAACAGCCTTTCAAGGAGTTAGGTTCACACATTTTCATTTTGACTTGGGAAGGTTAACTTTACTTGTTACTTAGAAGGATGCACACATAAGCAAAACATCATGATTTTTAAAAAGTACTAGATCGGGGCACCTGGGTGGCTCGGTCGTTAACTGCCTGCCTTCTGCTCAGGTCATAATCCCAGGGTCCTGGGGTCGTAGTTTTGAAAGCAAAGATGTGTATCCTTTGAAGTTTAGTGCCATGAATGTCTTGTTGCAGAGAAATCTACCTAGAAATTTAAGCCCACATCTGCAAGAGTCTACAAGATAATTTCCACCAGATACCCTCAAGTATCATCTGACACCAGGATTTTTCTTAGGAATTGTATTAAATTTCAGCTTCTTATAATTCTACATTCCTGCAACTTTCTAGACCTTTGCAGCATTTTTGCTCTGGTAGCTTCCCAGCTCCAATTCTGGTTACTTGGAAAGAGAAGGGAAATGAAACCAAAGAAACAAAAAGACTAATGCAAAGAATTCTACTCAAATGCCCAAACTAACTTGATTAAAGTATCTTTGGAAAAATGTTGATAATTTATACTTATTTTTAGATATTCCAACTAGGAAAAAATTGTGAAATGAATTCTACAGTGGAAAAGGCTATTTTCTTTTTCATTATCTCAGTAAATGTTAATGCATTAAAATCAATGTCATTGCTGTGAGTAGGTGGATTCTTAGTTATGAATTGAGGAGTATTGTGGATACTCTTTTTCTCCAAAACGACCTTCCCCAGTGTCTGATTGCGAGGCCTGAAATCCCAGTCATGAGAACTCTCATCTGTGGTAAGCACTGCCTTCTCCCTGTGGTTCTCTTTTAGAACTCCACTATTCCTGAGAGTGAAAAAAGTGATAAACACATATATATTTCCTTCCTGATATGGAGATATCTTGGGCATCCTGAGAACTTGGAGGAATTGGTGAGGAGAAGGATAAAATGCCAGACATATTAAATGGACATTTATTGAGCGCTTACTACATTCTCTAGCAATGTCCAAAAATTTCTATGATGATGAACATGTTCTGTATCTATGCTATTCAGTACAGTAGATGCCAGCCACATGTGACTACTGATTACTTGGAATATGGCTTGTGTGACTGAAGAACTGAATTTTAAATTTAATTTTAATTTAAATTGATTTAAATAGCCACATATAGTTAATGGCTACTGTATTGGACATCACATTTCTAGACACTGTGCTAAACATTATACATTTCTTATTTAATCTTCACAACAACTCCATGAAATAGGCAATATTTGCTCTCTTGGACAAAATCTGGGAACTGAAGTTCAGATAAATGAAGTAATTTTTTTTGTGTATCCTACATGTATGAGTGGTAGAGTGGGATTTGGGCCCAGGTCTGAAACTGCCTCTCTGAAAATAAAGTTTCTCACTCTTTGTGTTGCCAAGTCTTAGCTGCCATCTTCAGAGACTGCCTTTCTTCCAGCTGCTGTGGAGGAAATAAAGGATCATGAAATTAAAAAATATATACAATTATTTCATCTTATTTGAAAGTAAAGTTGACCCTTGTACAACATGGGTCTGAACTGCAAGGGTCGGCTTATACATGGATATTTTAAAGTATAATACTGTAAATGTATTTTCTCTTCCTTAACATTTTCTTAATAACGTTTTCTTTTCTCCAGCTTATTGTAAGAATACAGGATAAAATACATATAACATATAAAATATGTGTTAATCGAATGTTTATGTTCTCAGTAAGGCTTCCAGTCAACAGTAGTTAAGTTCTGGGGGTGTCCAAAGTTACGTGTGGATTTTCAGTTGTGTGAGGGGTCACTGCCCCTAACCCCTATATTGTTCAAGGGTCTATTGTATAGTAATTTCTCTAGTGAAGGGCACTATGTAACTTGAGAGATTCTTTTTTTAAAGGCTGAAAAAAGTTTTATTTTAAGAGCTGTTGCTCTTGGGCTTTGATAAAACAATCAAATTAATTAGTCTGCCTCAAAAGAAATCTTGATCTTACTGCTGGGTATCCTAGTCCTGGAGCCTGACTACTGAGAATAGTCTATTCTACCAGTGAGGCCTTGTGACCGTCAACTGTTATTACTGAAAATTTACTAGCCTTGAGTTGCCTGAGAGAGGGGGCTGATTAATAGAAATCTATTGCATATATGATTTCGTCTCTCTCGGTAGTAATAAAAATGCAGAGAACATCACCAACTTATGAATGGCTGTAGAAGTGATTTCTAGTTCTACTTTCTTATCTTTTAGACATTTAAAAAAAAATTTCATTATGTTATGTTAATCACCATAAAATTACATCATTAGTTTTTGATGTAGTGTTCCATGATTCATTGTTTGTGCATAACATCCAGTGCTCCATGCAGTACGTGCCCTCTTTAATACCCATCACCTGGCTAACCCATCCTCCCACCCCCCCTCCCCTCTAGAACCCTCAGTTTGTTTCTCAGAGTCCACAGTCTCTCATGGTTTGTCTCCCCCTCCGATTTCCCCCCCTTCATTTTTCCCGTCCTACTATCTTCTTCTTCTTTTTTTAAACATATAATGTATTATTTGTTTCAGAGGTACAGATCTGTGATTCAAGTCTTTCACAATTCACAGTGCTCACCATAGCACATACCCTCCCAAATGTCTATCACCCAGCCACCCCATCCCTCCCACCCCCACCACTCCAGCAACCCTCAGTTTGTTTCCTAAGATTAAGAATTCCTCATATCAGTGAGATCATATGATACATGTCTTTCTCTGATTGACTTATTTCGCTCAGCATAAAACCCTCCAGTTCCATCCTTGTCATTGCAAATGGCAAGATTTCATTCCTTTTGATGGCTGCATAATATTCCACTGTATATATATATATACCACATCTTCTTTATCCATTCATCTGTCGATGGACATCTTGGCTCTTTCCATAGTTTGGCTATTGTGGACATTGCTGCTATAAACATCAGGGTAAACGTACCCCTTTGTATCCCTGCATTTGTATCTTTGGGGTAAATACCCAGTAGTGCAATTGCTGGGTCACAGCAACCTCTTAGACCTCAGCTGCAGCAACTTCTTCCTAGAAACATCGCCAAAGGCAAGGGAAGCAAGGGCAAAAATGAACTATTGGGACTTCATCAAGATAAAAAGCTTTTGCACAGCAAAAGAAACAGTCAACAAGGGCGCCTGGGTGGCTCAGATGGTTGAGCATCTGCCTTCGGCTCGGGTCATGATCCCGGGGTCCTGAGATCGAGTCCCACGTCGGGCTCCTGGCTCGGCGGGGAGCCTGCTTCTCCCTCTGACCCTCTCCCCTCTCATGCTGTTTCTCTCTTGCTCGCTCTCTAAAAAATAAATAAATAAAATCTTTAAAAAAAAAACAAAACAGTCAACAAAACCAAAAGACAGCGGACAGAATGGGAGAAGATATTTGCAAATGGCATATCAGATAAAGGGCTAGTATCCAAAATCTACGAAGAACTTATCAAACTCAACACCCAAAGAACAAATGATCCAATCAAGAAATGGGCAGTAGACATTTTTAATAAGTTAATGGAAGCAACAAATTGCTCTATTCCTGTGCCACTCAGGAGAGGCAAAATAGGTGGCTCTTTGAACTCCAGAACCGTTCAACTTCAGAATGGAAGGCCAGAAGATTATTTTTATGGGAAATCAAACTTTCTTAGCGATAGTAAGAGGGTTTTTTTCAATGTTCTTCTAATCCTAACTCTTCCACTCTCAGTAATTACACTGTGGTTAATGAATGGCCATTTCTTGCAGTTCTGAATTCCCCTCTTTAATCCTGATTCTAGCTTTAATACCCTCCGTTGGATGGTCTCACCTTCCATTTAATTCCCTTATAATTTTAATTTGCAGTGTTTTTTTAGTCAAATAGTTTCACATCTATTTGCTTTAGTAAAGTTTCAGCTCTGGAAGATTATATTTCATGTTCTAGAATTTATCTGTGAGCTCAGCTTAGAATGTTGAATATCATTTGCTTTTTTACAGAACTGGGAAATTATAGGGTTGATGACACAGGAACCACATCTCACTGAAGATGAAATATGTGAGTTTTCTCCTCGCTTTTTAGCAAATTAATTACAATTTTCCCCCAAAGTGGGTTTTTTGTTGTTGCTGTTTTTACTTGGTAAAGTTCACTTTGTGCTTTCCAGACCCTAGATTTTGTAGGTATTTGTTGCTGGGACTTTTGTCTTAATGAAGTCTGGCAGCATCTCTTGAGGTGAGACAACCAATTTTACTTTTGCTCTGGCACTGAGTCCAGCCATCTGCTGTAGGTCTGACTTTCAAACACAAAGGGAAAACACAAAGTATAGCCAACGTGGTGGTGACAGCTGGTGGGAAAAAAGAATCATTGTGTTTGACAGTGTCCTTTGGTAACAGACCAGGAGGTGAGCCAAATACATTATATTATCTCAAATATGGATGCCTGCAGGTTAGTTGGAACTTTAATTTCTGACTCATCCACCTTATTTCCACTTCTTGGAGGAAACCCCTTTTTGTCACACATTGTCATATCCACATGTTCTTGGACAAGGGAACTATATAGACCAACATCAAAGTAGATCTTCCACTAAACAGAGTGCCTTGCATTTAACCAATGCCTTGTGGATGTGCTATTTGTTTCAGCCTATGTGTATGCATTTTTTTTAAAGATTTTATTTATTTGACAGAGAGATAGAGCACAAGTAGGCAGAGCGGCAGTCAGAGGCAGAGAGAGAAGCAGACTCCCCACTGAGCGGGGAGCCTGATGCGGGATTCGATCCCAGAACCCTGGGATCATGACCTGAGCTGAAGGCAGAAGCTTAATGACTGAGCCACCCAGGTGCCCAGCCTATGTGTATTTTTAAACCAGAAATGATCACAGACAGAATTTGTATATTTTAGGGCAAATAGTCATCTTAGAGATATTACTTCAATACTTTAATTTTTTTCTCCATTAAAAAATTCCATACTAATTAATAATATCTAAGTAGGGGGGAATTTAATTAATTAGTTAATTAATTTTAAGATTTAAATTAAAATAACATATAGTATATTATTAGTTTCAGAGGTAGAGTTTAGTGATTCATCAGTTGCCTATAACACCAGGTGCTCATTACATCGAGTGCCGTCCTTAATGACCATCACCCAGTTACTCCATCCCCCCACCCACCTTCCCTCCAGCAACCCTCAGTTTGTTTCCTATAGTTAAGAGTATCTTGGGAAAATTTATTTTAGATGATTAAATTTACATTTGAACAACTGGAATTTTATTTCAAATCATCTGGAGTAAATCATATTCTATGTTGGTTTTTACAACTAATTAAGTTGTTTCAATTTTTTGGTTTTATTTTTTAGTAAGCAAATGAAGCTATGGCAGATCCTTGAACATAGTTAATTATTGAAAGCTGCCTTATATTTAAAGAAACACCATATTAGGATTGGGGTGAGGTAGGTGTAGAGATAAGAGATTGACGTCAACCTTAAAAGACAAGGTCATTTCTTGCTTCCCATTTTGGAAAGTGTCTGGAATTCATGGTAATTTGGTTTT